AATTTTTTTTTTTTTTTTTAATTGAGATACATAATCTGAAATAGTCTGGAATATTTAAGCTTTGAATATATGGATGGTTTCTTAGCTTAGGGCAATATTTGGCAAACATACAGCTATTTGAATACCTGACACCTGAGGCTAAAATATAAATATTGAATTAATATAATATTAAATAAAGTTTTGTCCTAATTACAATATTGAATATTGCATTTTGGATTATAGATCATATTTATAATAATAAAAAATGTCAGTTTTAATATATTTATGGTATTTATGGTAAATTTACAAAATGTCTTAATGAAATTAGGGTTGGGCCGAAAGACAACACAATGCTGAGACTGCATCGCTGATCCTCCGCCCCACCCCCGTCGCAAACCCGCTCGCGAAAAATAAACACTCATGCCCCCGTTTACAGTAATTCGTCTTGGCATTTTAGAACGAAAATTATCCACATCTACACCGTGTTTTACCTAGCATTTCTGAACAGCCCTCTGTCCGACGAAAACGCACATCACGTGACCACACACATACAGCCACACACACTGTCATGCGCTCGTCTGTGCTCCAGTGAGCAGTGCACGTCGCACGGTTTATCAAGGATGTACCGCTTGATCGCATCTTACTATAGTTGTTAAACGTGATATTCAGACATCCCGAGTTTCCTGGAAGTTCTGGGAGTCTCCTGTAAATGCATAGAGACTCCCGGGTGCCCGCAAATAAGTGATAATCTCCCGGAAATCGCGGGTCTCCCTCCCGGATCTCAAATTAGTCGCGCACCCTTCTCACCCCTCACCAATGGATCCCTCCTCGCTCTTCAGACACGTCACAAGCACTCTGTTAAACACTGCCTACAACACAAATCAATTAAGTTGACTTAATAGGTTTTTCTCAAATTTAAATGGAGTGATCATGAATCATTTAAATAGTCAAAAAAAAAAAAAACTAATTTTTTTTATTTTTATTTCAGATTAAGTAGTTTGAACAAGCAGCAAAAAATAAATGTTTTAGTGTGTTGACTAGTAACCCAATGCACATAATCCTGTTTATACTTGAACACATATGCCTAAAGTGCCTGTATGGTCATGTGACATACATTTTCAATGGTATGTAAGTGGAAGGAGATCTTTTCACAAATGCTAGATGAAACATTAGTGTGGACATGGATCAATTTTATTCCAAAACCCCAATTTTTAAAATAAAACACATTAGTGTAACACATCGGCGATGGCCTTCATCCAATGAGAGAGAAAGATAAAGGACAGCGGGGAGTTTACAGAGGACTTTAAGACTACAACATCATGGCTTCAGTTTTGAGAAAGGCTCCTTCTCTGTCTTTTCGGATGCAAGAAATGGATGAAAGTTTGCAAAAAGTTTGACTGAAGCACTTAGTTCTGTAATGTTTTGCCTGCGTTGTTGCCTACCACAGAGGAGTTCAATCTTCAGTCTCATGCAAGAACTCGGATGCTGCAAGATTCAACAGATTTGACAGCAATTCCTCCTATAATAATCATATAGTGGACTCCTGTCGCCGATCCATAGTACTGTGAACACAGCAGCCACTGAATGCTAGCCTGAATAGTCATGCAGTGTGGAGAAAAAAATAAAAAAATAAATAAATAAAACTGTTGTTCAACAACTTTTAACTCAGTAAAAGAGACTGGCTGGAACAGAAAATACTGGATATAAGAGACACTATAATAAAGAAGAACCACTGAATTAAAATCTGACTTGATGTATTCTGTGGAAAACGAAGTAGATTTTGCAGAAAACAACTTGAAGCGGTGAGACCAAACATTTTGCACAAAAAAGTAAATGAATAATGATTGTAAGAGAAAGTGAGACGAGGTGGGACGCTAAGAGAAATATGGACTCAATTTGAATCTGAAGATGCATGGTTACTAAAAAACCAAAGGTTATTAATGTGTGTCTTAGTGTACAAAGCAACAAGGACATTATTTGGCCTAATCATGAAAAAAATTCAATATAGATTTTTATTAATAGGATATTTTGCAAGAGGAACATTACATTTCTTGAAAAAGAAGAAGGAAAAAAAAACAGTTGTAAGCAAATAACATTTGACTTAAGGAAAACAAAATCAACAACAACCGGGACAAAATGGGACAAGAATAAAAATCAACATCAACAACAGACTATATATGAATCTTGGAATATGAATGTGGAAATGTAAAGGTAAGAAGAGAAAACGGCAGATGGGACAAGAAAAAAAAAATGGTTACCTGAATAAAAACAACACAATAAATAAATCTCGATTTAAGGATTTGGAAAAAAAGACGAAGTGGAAGATGAGATGACATGCTCCACGACATTGACTGAGCCATTACTTTTCCAAATCCCACTTTCCAAGAAGAGAAGGGATGCTGTTAGAATCTCACTTTGAACATTTGAAAAGAGGAAAACTACATAAATGGGACAGAAATAGTTAAAAGGATTTACGATGAGACCAAAAAAATAGAAGAACTACTGTATTGTGTGCAGATCAGAAATGACAGTAGACGTGGATCGAGATGAGGCCTTGTGAGACTAGATGAGCCAAGACATTACGTTGGCTGATCAACAAAAACTGTTCATGCGTGTTTAGGAAGAGGGAAGGAGACAAAATGGAGAGGAGATGAAAATCATTTGGTATAATAACTACTGTAAAGGAATAAGACTTAGATCTTTATTAAAGAGATGAGAAAAGCTGGATAATTGAGATGAGAAAATAAAATAATTAAGAAATTATGTCGACTGAAAAAAAAAGGTGTTCACATCCCAAGAAAATTGTTTTAGAAAATGATTGCTTCTTCTTTTTCCCGCTTGTTATGAGACCTCCCGGAAGCAGGTCTTTGCACGCCCAATAAAATAACTGGGATTTATTTGAGAGCTTTGCAACCATGATGAAATGGCTCTCTCCCTCATGCAAGACCAAAGTTATCATCTGCATCTTATTTGTGTTTTGAAAATGCCTCCCTTTTTCGGACAGAGACCATTACTTCTGCTTAAGCAATATCTGGAAATTTAAAGAGTGTGCCATGTCCGCTGCTAAAAGGCAAATCGCTTCTAAGAAGATGAGACGACTCTGAAGACGAATCCCATTTGAAAAGGGTAGACAAAGTACTTTCAGTTTAAAGAAGTAGTCCACCAAACAATGATTTACTTCTGTTATCGTTTATTCACCCTCAGTTTGTTCCAAAATGGCTTCCTTTCTTCTGTTGAACACAAAAGTAGATATTTTAAAGGATGTCGGTTATCAGATGTTGATGTTCCACATTGACTTTTCTAGCTATTTTTTTGACACTATTGGCTTGTTTTCACTGAGTACAGTAGAGTGAACATTTATTTACATTTCCACTCTAAGAAGTACCAACATAGTGAGGGTACATAGGACAGTATTTTAAAAAGTGGCTAGACTTAATGCAGAACACTGATTGGTTTGCAGAGAATTGTCCCAAGTGGGCAACAAGCCATGGGAACAACAATAAAGGACTGTACTAATATTGACACCGTTTCATTGTGAAAACGTACCGCCGTATACATTTCTGGAGAGCACGAATTTTGTAGCCAGAGCTACGTAAGGCTGCATTTCGTCTTTCAAAATGGCTTTCGTGCTGCCAGCTGACTGATTTAACTCCGTGTGGACGGCTTTTCCGCTTTGATCAGTTTGCCCAGCGGCTCGCCATGTACGTCGTCAGACTTAGGACGCATAGAGAAGTTGAACCCGAGGACAGGGTGTCCAGCGAATAACAGTTCCAGAAAGCAGGTAAAACAAAAATCAAAAAACAAAATAAGCAAGTAAATAACCGGGTGAGAACGTAGTATGATTTAAAAACGTTGTAAAAATCAGGCGAGGGCTTTTCTTTTTTTTTGATTGCTTTTGAAAACACTGTCACTTGGGTTTAGGAAAGGGGGTTATCGGGTCAGTTGGTGATTTTAAAAACTATCGGTTGGGTTAAGGGAAGGGGGTGGGTGGGTAGATTGGTCGTTCAGTCAGTAGGCAGCGTCCTCTGGTAGATTTACACGAGAACAGCAGGTGCAAATGACATTTGCGAGAGAATTTTGATATCTGAAAGAGCGTACACTGCGGCCTCTGTTACATTTGCGAAAACAAAAGCTGCAAAAAAACGTACCTCCTGGGATGTCTTCACGATCTCCAGAAATGTATATAGGTGTAAAAATCAATAATGAGCCAGGGTTGACTAATACAATGACATTATGACAGATATTGACTTGAGCTTAACCAAACCTAGTAATCATCTTTTTATAAACAGCCTCATGCCAAGAAGTAAAAACAGAATCTATTGTGAGCCCTCCGTTGTTGTTTAAGGCATCACATGTATGAATGTAAAATGTACAAATTGCATTTATTCTCTCTTTGAACATTGAACATTGACTTATTTCTTTTTTTAAACAAGAATATGTTAATTGGTGAGGATGCTGTTGGAAACAAAACCCAATAGTACTATACTATACTAAACCATACCACTCAGTGGAAACAAGGCATGTACGTGTCAATGGGGAACCATCAATTGTTTTGTTACCAACATTCTTCAAAATATCTGCTTTTGTATTCAACAAAAGAAACCAGCCCTTTTTACATCAAGATGAGGGTGAGTACATGTTCATTTCTTTGAGAACTACAGTATACTGTACCTTTCTTTATCACATTTCAAAACATTAATTCAAAACATTGCTTCAGAGCGTAAAATGCTCAGTTAAATTCCCACTTTTTAATCACTGACAGGCCCTCGAGGAAAATAAAAAAACAATAAAATGATTGAGTCACACATTTATTTATTCATTTATTTTAATTTTTTTGCGATCACCAGGAACATGACATTCACATTGCCTTGGAAATTAATGAGCTAATTTCTAAAACTGATCTCGTAAACAAAGCCAATTGTGGCCAATTTGAGCAAAACGGGAGCCCTCAGCACTGAAATGCATTTGCAGTCACTCTACAGTAGTTTGTCATTTAATCTCCTCTATCCTCCTTTTTCCAGACATTCGTGAAAGCGGGAGCCCCAAACCTGTGATGGTTTTCGTTCACGGTGGATCGTACATGGAAGGAACAGGAAATATGTTCGACGGAAGCATCTTAGCCAGTTACGGCAATGTCATCGTCATAACCGTCAACTATCGGCTTGGTGTGCTCGGTAAGTACTTTGTTTTTTGGGGGGGTTTTTTGCGCTTACCTTCCGGGTACTTGATCTGTGTTCCATATCTTCTGAATGGCTTGTTCCAGCTTTGTTTTGCTCCACCAAGGTACAGTTTTCATCCGCTGGTGAAAGATGATTTAGTTAGCTGTGAATAGCCTCAAGCTCATAAGCATAAAATGTGTGAAGTGGCAATGTTTTCTCCAGAGCGGCTTGCATGCATGAAAACGTATTATAGAAAAGTTTGCGGTAGTTGTATGTGATTTAGGGGAGATTGTAAATACCAGAACTATCAAAAGCTTTATGACCTTCTAGTTTAAATCACAAAACAACAACCTCTACAGCCTGTGTGTTTGTCTCTCTATCTCTGACTTTTTTCCCTATTGTTATTCCTCTCCCTCTTTATGTGTCAGTTATAATTTCTCTAGACAACAGATGTGGATGGAGATAAAACTGGATATTTTTACTTAATGATTGAGATTGCCTGAAGCAAATGGTGTTGGATTTATTAATAAGCTTTGGAGCGTTTGCCAGTTGTCTAGATATGAAACATCTGCTATCAGAGAATGGTTAAGTGCTATTTTAGTTCTGTAATAATTGAGTTAGAGTACAGATTTGTTTCGGTGAAGTATCTTTCGCGAGGGCTGCTTTTCTCCGATTGTTTCATCATTATTTGTCTGCGAGGTCGTTGTGCTAATTTATCATAATGTTTAATGCAGTCATTTTTTTTTATTATACATTATGCATATTCTTCAGTGATTGACACTGATTATTTTCAGATAAAGGATGATGGAGACTGATATAAATGTACTCATGTACTGTGTTTTTTAATAATAATTTACAGTGCTCGGCATAATTGAGTACACCACATTTTGAAAATGATTTTTTTTTCTTTTTTTTCAGTGCATATAGGCAATTTTAGTGTATTTAAACAAAACAGATTTATTAAAATAATAATTTAATGATCAAACATATTTAAAAATTGAAAGATAATACCATTAAATTCAAGCAAAATATTGTAAATAAATTGCAACCTACAAAATTTCAACTAAATTTTTCTTTTTTTTTTACTTGATTCTTCCTCTCTTTAAAAAGGTGTATTTCATATTTTTCTATAACAAATACATTTAGGTGTATTCATTTCTGGACCGTTATCGCAAGTTATTTTGTTAGACTAGCTCCAGATTTGGCTTCAGTACTGACTAATTTAATGTATATGCACAAATACAACATTGTAGAGCTTCCTATTAAAAGTATAATTTTAAAAGATAGATGTGTGAGAGGTGTATTTATATATGCTGAGCACTGTATGTACAAATGCTTCTTTTTTTTCTTAAAGCAGTTTTACTAAAATAGCAAATCTATTTCATGAGCAAATGTATGATTACAAGCAGCCATTATTTTGTGTGTGTGTTGAATATATTCTAAACAGATTTCTTTGTATTCAGTCTGATCAAACTTCTACATACCCCTACACAGTGAATGTTTCAGTGCTTATGTGATTTAAGTAATTAATAAAAAATGAAGACTGCACTGCATTTTATAGATTTGTTTAACATTGAGAACAATACTTGTGTAACATTTTGTATGTAAATCATTTTTTAAACTCTTTTAATATTTAAATTAAATTTTTTATATTTAATTTTTTTAAACTCTTTTTAATATTTATCTTGCCTTGTCTAATATAGTCTTTAGCTGAGTTAACGTGTTGCTAACAATCTCCTATATATATATATATATATATATATATATATATATATATATATATATATATATATATATATATATATACAAACACTAATGTCACATTGGGCAAAACATTTTGGTTTTGTCATAATTTACTGGCATATTACCTGTCTATTATTAAGATATTAACTGCAGGGCTTGCAAAATATCTAAATTCCTAGTAGCCCTCGGGCAGGCATATAAAATTAAGTAGCCCACATAGAAAATACAATATTTATTAAATAAAACAAAAGCATACATTTACTTAATAACAATATATATATATATATATATATATATATATATATATATATATATATATATATATATATAAAATGGTATTTGTCATAGGCTATATAATATAGGTTATACATTTTTAAATAACCAAAATTGTATTATTTACCTTTTTTTTATTTAATTATTTTTCATTTTCAAAAAAAAAAAAATGAAGTAAACATGTTTTCAGGTTATTTTTTGCAGCTATAAATACATTCCACTATGTTACAGAGCACATATGCTGTATCTGAATCTTATGTCGGTGCGATTTCTGAGTGAGTGCCGAGTGTTAGTGTGCTTCAGTGCTTCACATTCAGCACAGAACAAGCGAATAAACAGACAGAAACAATGCGTTACTTTGGAAGGAGCTGAAATTATTGTGGCTTTTCTTCTTTATTATGAACAGGTGGATTTATTGCTGCAGTATCAGCAGCACAGCACATACATAATTATGCACTTTGTGGGAGAATGTAAAAGCATTGAAATATATATTTTCCTCCCACCGGCCCACCGGGCAGTGAGTAGATAGATTTTGGTAGCCTGGTTAAAAAAAATAATAATAATAGCCCCAGGACGTTGAGCTACCAGATTTGCGAGCCCTGAGTAACTGTTTATTGGTACCTATAAAGTATGATCTTATTCTACTTTCCTAATCAAACCCATCTACTACCTAATTAACTATTAATAAGCAGCTGATTAGTAGTTTATTGTGCTAATAGTCTTAGTTAAGAGTTTGTTAAAAACCTCATGAAATTAATATTAACCGTATGAATTTGTGAGCTAACATTGCTTGTTTAGTGGTGAACAATTCATCTGTGCATGTCGGTAATGCCTAGTTCAGACTGCGTGATTTTAGCCCTGATTTTGGCTCGCCGACAGGTTTTGAGAAATCGCCGACAAATGCCTGAAATCACAGGCAAATCGCTGCTCGTGCACGTGAGTGACAATCACACAGTATGAACGATCAAAGACGCGATCTGAGAGAATCGCCGATGAGTCGCCGATGCCTGTGAGATATTTGGCGTGCTAAATATCTGGAGCTGTCGGCGATTCAAATCATGCCGTGTGAATTGAGTTTTGACTGAAAATAACATCAGCGATCGCCTACAGCCAATGAGAGAGCAGCTTTCACTTGTGTGTGCGGGTGTGTATACCTGCTGCAGGCCAGCGGGAGGCTGGGGGAGAAGTTAAAAGCGCTCTTTTTCGGTTTATTTGGACCCACGAAATGGAGGAAAAACTAGTGGAGGTTTGACAGGACTCAGGAGCACCCGTGTCTGTTTGACGTTTCATACAGAAAGAAATTAGTTTATTATCAACTTAAGTTGAGGAGAAATGGCTAATTCCCTTTAAACCCAGGTGAGCAAACATGTACATGTTCTACCCCATTAAAGGCTTCTTTCTCATTATGTAGTTAATAACAAAAGATATACTACATGTTTTTGGCTGTGAGACGTAGTTTGGACGAAGTTGTCGGCGATTCTCCCTATAGTAAAGTCATGCAATGTGAATGTCCATGTCGCCGAACCATCTTGCAGTGTAAACAAAGCAGCGACGAAACGCTAGCCCAGGTAGTCATGCAGTGTGAAAACATCTGTGACACGACTACTTTTAAAGTCATGCAGTCTGAACTCGGCATAAGAAAGGTTTCCCTTTTGATCTTTAATTGAAATCTGAAAATGCACTGAATTTTTAAAATTTTTTTTCAGTAAAATAGTCAGATTACATATATCGTAGGTGTTAGGTGTGGTTAACATACATAAACACACCCCTCCATTTTGCAACAAACAGGAATGGTGTGGGGATAGTGCCTGTTAGGTTGTATTAACTCTCACTAAACCCTTTTCCCAATCTTTTTGAATGAAATGCCTCCTTTACTACATCCAATCAGCTCGGAGGTAGAAAAAAAAACAAGCCACACCCACTGTTTACTCATTTAATATGTCATTTCTATTAGAATTGCATCCAAAAAAATTAAAAATAAATAAAAAAGCAGGTGCAGCTTCCAGTTCATGTGGACTTTAATAGCTTGAATTGTGACTTAAATTGTTACCCCACGTTGTCTAATTTCAGTTAAAAAGTAAAAGTAAAAATAAAAATTCACACTATTATCTAGCTACTGGCTTAATTGCTTGCCCATAATTAAGACATTACCTGTTTTAGTTATTAGAAGTTATTATATTATACTTATTGTTATAAGTTATTATAAATGATCTAATTCTACGACCCTTATTATACTTTATACCTAAACCCAACTACTGCATTACTATTAATAATCAGCTAATTAGTACTTTATAGAGCTAATATATTTAGTTAATGGTTGTTGATAGGGTGAATTGTAATTTAAAACAAAGTCTGACCAGCTGATTTTCAGTATTGTCAAAAAACCTGAAGACTAGTTTATTTCTTATGCACATCTTGTTTGTGAGTGTTGTCATGCAGGGTTAATCTTCAGTAATAATTTGTTCTTTTATAGTGATAACTGGTCAATTAAATAAGAGCTATTGATCAATGCACAGTTCAGATTGTTCAAATAGCCTTGTTAAAGAAACATTAGCATCTGCTGCTAATCCTGCAAACGGTTTTATTGTGTTTTTTTGTTAAGCTCTTCACATCTGTACAGTATAACTCACCACTCTGAAGTATTAGCATTCTGGCAGATGCTAACGTGCTGGTGCTGTATGTGCCGTTAGTCTGCATTTCATAAAAATATGCATGAATTCTGAAATTAGCATCAGTTATTTGCACCAGGATCATCACAGTATATCTCTCTCCGTTAGTAAATGAGGCCCAGTGTGATCGTTCCTCGCTAATGATTCAGCTAGCAGCCATCTTCCCTCAGTCACCCTTAGCTTTTTATAACAAATCCACTACTGATGATTAGCGATTTTTTTATTTATTTTTTCCTTTCCTAGCGATGGCACACAAATCCATTAGGGGGTTTAAGCATGTGCCCGCATGCCACAACCCTTAATTTATTGTTGCTATGTTTTCCTCATGGT